CAACAAACATTTATTGAAGACCTACCATGTGCCCGACACTATAGTAGGACTTGGAAAGACAAGACTTCTTGGTGAAAGACACAGCTCATATCCCTGCCCTAATTGAGCTTACTCTTTACAGGTATTCAGTGGTTGAAAATTGTTGTGGACTGCATTGTTTCCCCACCCCAAAATGTATTATGTTAAAGCCCTAACCCCAATGTGACTGTATTTGGAGATGGGGCCTTTAGGGAGGTAATTGATGTTAAATGAGGTCATGCGGTTGTGCCCTGATAGAACTGGTATCATTATAAGGAGAGGAAGCAACACCTGAGCCCTCTCTCGCAGAAACAGCGAGAACGCAGCCTCGTGCAAGCCAGGTGGCACCTTGATCTTGGACTTCTAGCCTCCAGAACCGTGAGAAAACAAATTTCTGTTGTTTAAGTCACCCAGCCTGCGGTATTTTGTCATGCAAGCCAGAGCAGACTAATGCAGAGAGCATCAGTGGTTACCGTATGAAGACAGGAGACGAGGAAGGAAAGAAAGAAAATTGCTCACGGAATAAGAATACGGAGTGATTTTAATCATCAATTAGAACTTTTTTTAAATTTATTTATTTAACAAGATCGCTCCATTTTTTTTTTTTTTTTTTATGGAACCCAGCAGAGGAAAATCCACAATTTCCCTTGATGTGCCCCTTAATGATTACGTGGCTTTGTCAACACTGTCTCAAGCCTTTTGCTGCATGGCTGTGTGTAACGTGCGTCCACCTGTGGTGGCTCATCTGCTGCTCCCACGGGAAGTCTCGGCCTGCGCATGCGCCGGCTGCTGCGGCCCCGGGGCCAGGCTAAACATAGCTGCAGCCCTCTAGAGGGTTTCTCAGTTCTCCAGTGAACCAAACGCTTTGATTCCCAGCTCTGGCTTTAATTGGCCAAGGGAGTGATGTATATATACGCAATCTCTCTTCGTATCTCTGAATCAACAAAGGTAGTCTGCCCTCCCTTGACTCTTAAAACTAGGTGTGCACTCATCCCAGCTAACTGCCACATGCATCATCAGATCCCTGCTCCCTCAGCTAGACTCTGGGGGCTTGTATTTGTTATCTATTGCTATTTAATAAATTACCACAAACTTAATGGTTCAAACAGCACGTGTTCCTGATCTCCATATCTATGGGTCATGAATCCAGCCGAGCTGGGTCCTCTACTTCAGGGTCTCTCCCCAGGCCACAGTCAAGCTGCTGGCCAGGGCTGGGGTCTCATCTGAAAGCTTGGCTGGGGAAGGAGCCACTTCCAAGCTCGCCCAGATTTTCGGCAGAATTCTGTCCCTTAAGGGCTGCTGGACTGGAGCCCTTGGTTCCTTGCTAGCTGTTGGCCAATGGCCACCCTAAGTTCCTTGCCACATGGGCCTCTCTAACATGACTATGTCCTTTACTGCCAAAGCATGAAATCCAAAAAGGCAAAACCCCACTACCTTCGCTGTTATCCTACTAGTTAGAAGCAAGTCACTAGGTCCAGACCACTCGAGGGGCGTGGGTTGATTATACAAAGGCATGATGATATCAGGGGGCAGGCAGCATTAGAAACCACCTTCCACGGAGCTGAGCAGAAAAGAAGCCACTCAGATCTATCAGCCATCTCTCCATCTCTTCTGCATCCCTGGGAGGTACGCAGGGTACCTTCTTGTTTCTTGAGAAAAGGGAGCGTTAGGAAGGTGATGCTGGTTTGGTTGTGATCAACAATCTTTTAGAAGTCAGGTCCATTCATGCAAACTTTCTCCTCCTGCCCTCCAGACACCTGTTACCATCAGCCACCTGGATGCCTGATTGGTACCACCTACTAAACCCATCCGAGGTATGACTTGTATAATGTCTGCCAACAATTTCTCTTCCTGTCTCAGAAAATGGATCGTGAGATCCCAATTTCTCAAGCCAGAAACCAAGAAGCTACCCCTGACTCCTTCCTCTCCCTCACTATGCCTTTATGGAGTACAATTTTAAACAAATATTTCTAAAAAGCATACTAAGGTACGTGGAAGGGGATCTACCTGGCAATAGGGGTGGCTATTTCGTGAGGATGAAGGTGGGGTAGAACATGTGATTTGGGTAAATTAACTGACTTCTGGAAGATCTAGTTTTCTCAACTACAAAAGAGGGGATAATAACAGGAGACACACATTCAAGGTTGGTGTGAGGGTCAAATGAGATAATATCTTTAAAACGCTGAGTATATCATACATCCCACAAGCCCTCCGTCTGTGTCCACTACATGCTAGCGGCTAGAGACACACGTCGTGGCTGCCAGCGTTTGCTCACTAACTCAACAGTCAGCCTCTTCTCTTGTGCAGTCTCCACTTCACAGGCCAAAAAGCTAACTCTACATTTCCCCAGCCTCCTTTGTAGTTAAGGATTTTATTTTTTATTTTTTATTTTTTTTTTTTTGCTGAAAAGAACTTCTTCCTTGAAGAAGGATTCAATGTCTGCAATATCAGCAGCCATCTTCATCCATAAGGCAACAAGCATTTAGTTAAACACCAGCGCACTAAGGGTGGTGGAGTGGAAAATGTTTGTGTTTCTCATGACATTGTCGAACAGCAGAACCAATGCCAACTTCCAGCTACCTTCAGGCTTCTTGTCACCTCAGAAAAAGAAACCTCTACATCTTTCAGCTACTGTTTATCAGGTAATTCTGTTACCTGCAGCTGAAAGGATGCCTCACAGATACATGTTTCAATAGCGTGGAATCAAATATCTGAAATTTTAGGCCAGAATCTTGGCCAAGGTCACAACCTCTGTCAAGCCAAGGTTTGAAATCCTATCTTTTTCCCCATGACATCTTATAGATAGTGTAAATGCAGGAAAATTGCGTGACTTTTATAATATGCTCTATTTGTGCTTCTTATTAATTTATCACATTTACCTAAAAACAATATCCCTGACAATGAAAAGAGCGCCACACATTCAAGTCTGCAATATTATGTTAAAGAAGCAGTAAGGAAAAGAGGAAACTAAAAAGAGGCAGAATGTCACAAAGAGACAACAAACAAAAGCCAAAGGAGAGAAATGAATATAACGATATAACCACATACAACATCAGCCGTTGGTTTCCAAAATTTTTACAGTTGTCCTCAAGTGTAAATTTATCATGTGACATTTTCCCACATTCTTTCTCTTCCTGAGAATTCCCAACATCCTATTTCAGGATCATAATATATATATATATATATATATATATATATACACACACACACATATATGTCAGACACGCAATTTACAAAGTAGACACATGCCTATTCAGTGTGAGTTCAAGGCCCAGTCAGGACTTAACTGCTACAAAAATCTGGTCTTCACTCCTGCCTAAAAGTGCCCATACCTGGCTGGAAATGCACTCACTAAAGTGCAGATGATATAGCAAAAAGACTGGTTCCAGACCTGCAGTGGCCGCTGGCCACCTGTGGTCATTGAGCCCTTGAAATGTAGCCAGTGCCATATGTTGAAATTACAATGTGTTATCTATACTGAGCTAAATAAAAACATATTTCTAAAATTGATTTCACTTGTTTCCTTGCATTTAAATATGGCTACTAGGAATCTTTATACATGTGGATCTCACTGTATTTTTTATTAGACAGCGCTCTTCTAGAACATGGCAGCTCCCGCTAGCACAGCAGCCCAACTGCATGTCCCAGAATGAAAGAACTGACCTCTAAACACTAACCACAGGACGTGGACATTTCCACGTGGAGGATAGCAAGGTTGAAAAAGCACAGGTCTGAGCAGAAAGCGGGCATGAGTCTGCCGGGTAGAAAGCAGGTTTAATGGGGCTTCTGAGAGGCTGGGGGGCAATGGAAGAAAAGGGGAAGTCTTCAAAGAGGACAGTTGGCTCTAAAACCATAGTTAGGCTGCGGTACGATCCCACCTGGAGCCCATTCCATCTGCCTTGTCGGCTGTTCTCCTGTGCTTCTTGTGCCATTTATCCACACTTCAGTCACTTTCTCAGGGACATTTGGTCTCCATGAGCTATTTTACCTGGCTGCTCCTTCCAGCCCCTTCCACGACTCCTAGTGTGATAAAGGGCTCTCTAATGCCCCGGGGCGACTGTTAATGGCACTCTGGTCGCAGATATCTAGTTTGCATTAACTCAGACACAGAAACACCGAACTACATTCTTGAAATGAGCTCTGTGCGGGCAGAGAATCTTTTCCATCTTCTGCTTAAAGCCTTCAAGGCCTCCGTCCCCCATGACATATCGTCAGCTTCCATTAAGACCCTGGCAACCCGTAGCACTTTCTCTCTGGAAAGGATTGGCTGTGCCAGAGAAGCCCATTAAATGAACAAGTCAGCGGAGCCTCAATAAACAATCAGATTAACAGCCCAGTAGGAGAGTTACAATCCCATAAGTAATAGATTTAAAACCCCACCGGTCCCAAGTTGTGGGTCAGCAGAAGCATTTGACTGTGAATGTTTTCTGGGCCAAGAGCCATTACATTACCTGGTGGTCTCTGTGTGGGTTCCTTTTAAATTTAGTCCTATTTGAGAGTAGCAAAAAAAAAGGGCATTTTCCAGATGACAAAATTTTGTGTTTTATAATGCTCTGTGAGCCAAAACTTCCACATTTTTAAAATTAATGAAGCAAAAACAAAACAAAACTATGTTTACTTGAGGGTAGAGCTGCTAGTCAGATCTGAAAAATGTTTAACTCCAATAAATGCCCCAAGTACAGGGGTCTCCTAGCAAGGGCGTCTTCCTCTCCCTGCAGCAGAAGCTGAGCTATTCCAGGGCCTTCGACCAGCTCAGTCAGTAGGAAAGAGAGACGATAACCCCACAAGCACCAAAATCTGAGTGCAAGAAGAAAGATTCCCCTCCGCTCCCCAAATCAGTTGGTGCATAGCCACCAGGAAAGTCACCTAGATGATGCTACCTGAGTTAGAAATTTGGAAAGCCACCCAGGGAGGAATATAAAGCCAAGAATACACGTCCCTAGAATGTGGACAGCATCACAGAAGACAGAACCAAGAGGTAGGTGATGGAATGTCATGGCTCCCCATTGCTAAGGAAACTTACCTCAAGAAGAAAGCTTTCCCTTGCTGTGTGCTTTCCTGGGAATGTCAGCCACGTCATGCCTCGGTAAGAACTTACCCCTGGGAAAAGTGGCCTGTTTCTTTGGCAGTGTCTCTCTCTACTTTCTCACAGAACAACACTGACTGGCTTGGTAAGAAGGACAGTGTGACACCCTAATGCTGGTGAGACTGTTCATTTGAAGAGTGCAGTCAACTCTCGAATGCTTCAGATACCAATGCCTGACTTTGGGATTTGGCTGGGACAGTGTGCTCCAGTTCCATGTCCCTTCTATTCTCTGTGAATTTGTCACTCTACCAACATGGCAGACCTGATTGGCTGCTTTTTCCAAAACTACTACACCATACATTTTTTTCTCTATAGCAGAGCATTATAGAGGCTAAAATTGCCAGATACTTATTCTCTAAGCATCCTTGAAACGAGAACTTAGTTAATAGGACCTGAGGGGAAGTCTACGCTGTGTCTTCCGGGAAAGGTTTTCTTTCTGTAAAACGAAGCATACGAGAAGAAATGCCCCTTTTATTTCCTGTGTTCATTTCTGATGGCAAATCACACAAACTTGGTGGCCTAAACCAACAGAAATTTATGCTCTCACAGTTCTGGAGGACAGAAGTCCAAATGGATCCAAAGAAAGGTGTTGGCAGGGCCACACTCCCCCTGGGGTTTCTGGGGGAGAATCTATTTCTTCCCTCTTCTAGCTTCGGGTGGGTGTTGGCATTCCTTAGAGTGGGTCCACCTCGCTCCAGTTTCGGCCTCTGCGATTGTATCGCCTTCTGCTCTTTTGAGTATGTCAAATCTCCCCCTGCCTCCCTTTCGTAAGGATACCTGTGATAGCATTCAGGATCCACTCAGGTAAACCAGGATAATCTCCCCATCTCAAGATCCTTAACTTAATCACACCTGCAAAGCTCTTTTTTTTGCCACATAAAATAACTTCACAGGTTCCAGGGATTAGGATGTGGATATCTTTTTTTTTTTTTTTTTTTTAGTGGGGAGGTAAGGAAGGCACAGGATATTATTCAGCCTACCACACTCTCTATGGAAGTGGAGGAAGGATGAGGTGCTGGGGCAGTGGCAGCTAACAGTCACAGAAGTACAGGCCTGAGGATGCCAGAACAAAAAGAAGGAATGCTTCTGGCTTCTTGATGACATGGTGTGCTCCTAACATAACCAAATCTGGAATCCTCTACCCTGGGCTGCTTCTTTTTTTTTTTTTTTTTTTTGAGACACAGTCTTGCTCTGTCACCCAGGCTAGAATGCAGTGGTATCATCATAGCTCACTGCAACCTCCAACTCCTGGGCTCAAGCAATCCTCCTGCCTCAGCCTCCCAAGTAGCTGGGACTATAGGCCGGTGCTACTTTGCCGGCTAATTTTTCTATTTTTAGTAGAGATGGATCTTGCTCTTGCTTATGTTGGTCTTGAACTCCTGGCCTCAAGAAATCCTCCTGCCTCAGCCTCCCAGAGTGTTAGTATTACAGTACTCGGGGTGTGAGCCACCACACCCAGCCTCCTGGGCTTACTTTTGAGTGAGATAACAAATCCCACTGAGTTGAGTACAGTATTACTTGTAGCTTAATATTTCCTAATGGGACACAACTACTGATTTAAAACAAAACAAAACAAGGAAAACCCTGAGAAGATGTTTATGAAAGTGACATACAGCTAAAGGCAAATGAGTCACTCTTGCCATTGTTCTTATAAAAAATTTACTGATTCACAAAAGTTGCCTTTTGATTATATTCCCTTTAGTAATGTTCTACAATCTAATCGCTTTTCTGCATATGTCTAATTACTCTAAAAAAATAGGTTGCTAGATAAGAATAGAAATGTTGAACCACTTGACTCTTACCTATTATGCACTGTTGGGACAACAGAAACTCTCATTAAATTACATTATATTATCTGTGGATTTCAAATGCAAATAATAATGTAGATTCCTATAAGAATTATTAATAATAACTACACTGTGTTTGCATTTCATATTCAGAATATAGTTGTCATTGTTTTCTTGAGTATGTATAGTGCTCCAAGTACTATGCCAGGCAGATATTAATAGCATTTCTCATTCTTCTCTCTCTTTCTATCGTACACATACACACACATACATATTTCTCATTTAATTCTTACATCATTCTTCTAAAATATTATCTCCAGCTTGCAAATTAGGAACCTGATCACATATTGGCTAAATAACGTGCCCAGGATGACAAAGCTGATAAAAATCAGAGCCTAAATTCATAAGTGTACCCATCCGATTTCAAATTCCAGGAGCTAATTCTTGTACCTGCTGCCTCCCATCATGTTTCTATGAGCTGTTCCAAGATTTTTCTCAGAAACATTTGGGAAAAAATGGATTTAACAAAAGGAAAATAAATATAAATAAATTAAATACCAATTGGGCCGATCACCTTACCCCTCACTTAAAGTCTAGATTAAAAAGTGGGGAAGACAGTGTGGGAAGAACAGAGGAAATCAGAGAAAAAAGAAAATAAACAGGGAGGAGGTCTCCAACCCTTGAAGACTCAATCTTTTAAAATAAGAGCCGTGGATCTATGAGCACCCACTTCAGTGGGAATCACCAGTTTCCATCTACAAAATTTATTCGTAACTAAACATCCCTCAACAACCAGCATTTCAGAGCGAAGGCTGAATTGGCCACTGAAAGTCACGGTGGAAATGTCAATTGCCTAAGAACAAGCAGAACAGTCATGGGTTCTGCCAAACTTGCATCCTGTGCACAGGAGGATAATCCCCAGTGATGAAGATGAAAAGGGTGGCAGGAGAGAAGGATAAAGTTGTTTACTGATTTCATCATAAGTTCTGCCTGTTCGAAACACTGACTACATTTATGAATATGTATAATTATATGGTTTTATATATTATATTTTATATATAGCTGTATATGTATATATTATATTTTATATGTGATTGATATATAGTATCAATAATATATATCAATAATAATATCAATATAATATATATATAATTGTGTATGGTTTATATGTTTCTATATCTCCCAAGATATTATTAACTGATAAAAAGCAATCTGCAGAATAATATGTACAATGTAAATATCACTATTAAAAGAGAACTCTAGAATATTTTTATCTCGATTTTCTTTACAAATGTCTAATTTACTAATTTTAATGAAACAACCTAATCCCAATTGCAAGTACTCTTTTTCTTTCACATTTTTCTTTCACCCAGTTTTTAAGATACTCTAGTAGTATCTGATAGCCCATTATTAATGCCTCTAACTTTCCAAAAATACTAGACAGGATGGAAATGAACTACAAAACAAATCTGATGAATTTATGCCTAGATATACTGTGTGAGCTACTTCTCAATGACCAAAGTAAATCAGCATTTTTATTCGTGAGTCAACATGCTTAATTAAATATTTGTTCCAGAAAACTATGCCCCGCAAAATAAGGCTGTAGCCAAAAACCATCCTGAGTGTTTGTGGCGATTCCTGCAAACACATCTGTCTGGACAAAGAGGTTGCTTAAATGGAGAAGCTGTTCTCCCTCTGAGACAACAGATTGCCCCCGTTGGAACCAGGCTCATTAACCAAACAACAATTTACTTTCAAGATTCACTTCAAAAGTCATACTTTATGGCATTTCCCAATGCAAAATATATGACACTAGACCATAAACTTTGCCCAATTTTCAATCAGTCCTTTGCCTTGCAAGATTCACCTCAAATCACTTGACCCCAGATAATAAAACCCTACAATGACTGCTCCTGACCAACCCCCCCCACTCCCCCTCCCCCGACACAGCTGAGACTGTCAAACTGATGTTTCTGCTTTGCTGCAGTGGATCTAATAAACTTAGCTTTGCTTGACTAATAGGTTTTCTGGTGGTCTTTGGGGGATTTGACAGCCAGCACCTGTACCAGTCTGTGAGTTAAATTTGTTTCCTTAAATAAGATTCATTAAGCTTTAAATTCCTAACTAGATCATGAGGAAGGCAATTGCAGGTGAGGGTTCGCAGATGCTTGCTTGCTCTCACCTGACATGTTCTTTTTCGCCTTCCCGGAGGCCATTCCAGGAGTTCCCACTTCCACTTTGATTTCAAGGAGAGGCTCTTCCTAACTGTGGGGAAGGAAGTCACTGGGAAGTTAGAGAATTGCCCCAACAAGTAGCTGTTTCAAGAGTCTTGTTTATTTTGCACTCCTGATGCCTGCTATAATGCCTGTTTTTCTGTTGTCTCAAAAACACGGGAAAGGCCCCAATTCTGAAAATAATAGGTGAGAAGTACCCTTACATTCTAAAGCAAGGTACTTAGGCACATTCCTTATGGGATATAGCTACAAAATAGCAAAACTAGGCCTGTAATCTCTATCCCGTAATCTCTATCCCATCACGCACCACCAGCCTATGAAGGGAATACTATTTAATATATATTCAAAGTTGGGCTTAGGAACAATACTTGGTAGAGGATTGCTAGCCTAGTAAGACACCTTTTGCATTTTCTTCCCTGTCCCACTTGATTTTATAATTTGTTTACATGGGGACCCATAATTAGAAATACATTTTGCATTGAGACTCAGTGCACAAATATCTATATGCGTGTTTGGGGGTACATGTGTGTATATAAACAGAAATAAAGGTTTTAAGAAAATAATACTTATTCTTACTACATGGGATGCACTCTGATATTTTCTATTCTGATCTATTGTATTCTATCTCTTTATTAAAAAAACAATAGTTGCAAACCATGAAATGAATTTAACAACCAATGAAACACAACCTCCAAGTTGAAAAACACTCTCAGGATATGCCTACAGAAACAGGAACATCTAAAAAAAAGAAGAAAAAAATGGCAGTCAACTTCTTAGTCCAGACTGGGTGTATAGGATCTCAGCTTTAACTTTGGCTTTGGAATCTCAGTCCAGAGAAGTCACAGGACCAAAGTGAGTTAGGCTAAATTTATTTTCAGAATTTGCTAATGGATCACAACCCACAGAATGAAAAATACTAACAAACCTCAGGTTCATTCCTAGACTTTGCCTGGATTGCTAATTCCCAAATAGAGCCAGT